TTTTTGCTAGTTAGAAAATTGATTTTCTCTAATTTTTTTCAACTCAGGGGTGTGTTTCTAATGACAAGGTGAACAGATATTTATCTGTGCTGACTGAAGCTCATCTTTAAATTTGCTAGAGGAGAACATTCACGGTTATGCCAATGTTTTATGTCTTCTCTAAAAGATGATCAAATCCCATTAATCTGGACTCCATTAATCCAGAATTTTTGTTAGGTTTATCTGATTTTGGCTATAATTTATAATATACTAGAGGCCCAGCGTGCACGAAATTGTGCGCGGTTAGGGACCCTAGGCCTAGCCTGGCCTCTGTCGCATGGCCTCTGCTGCCCTGCGATGCTACGTGAAGCTCCTCACTCCCGGATGCTCCACTAACCCTGATACTGCTCCATGAGGCTTCCCCTGCCCCTCGACTGCTCCATGAAGCTCGCTGCCACTCCGCGAAGCTCGCTGCTGGACGCTCCACGGAACCTCCCCACCCTCCGACTGCTTCGTGAAACTCGCTGCCGCCCGGGTGACTGCTGCACTAAGCTCACGGCCATCCGGCGAAGCAGCCGCCACTGGCCACTGCTGCTCAACAGCCCCCAGTCCCACCCCTAATGGTGAGCGGCTCGGGGGGCCAGAGGAGGGGGGGGACTGATAGGTGCTCCATGCACTTCACGGTAACCAGTCGCCCGTTCGGTTGTGACAGCACCTAGCTCTTTATATATATTAGGATGCCCTTTTATTATTATTCTTTAACTAGACTGTGAAGGGGGAAATGCCCTGGCATTCTAGGCTCAAGTAATACAGCAGTGGGCAAAACAAACAAAAATTATTGGCCAGATTGAGTGAATATTCTGGTTTGCATGAATGAGTGAATTTACTCTTGACCTATGTACAATAGCTAGAAAATGAGTCTCAGCATATTTAACATCTTTTTCTAGTAATCTGTCCAAAATTACAATTACTTGAAAATAATGTAAATAAAATAATTATTTCTAATATCCTGTAAGTGATCATTTTTTAATGGCTTTATGTTAAATTTCTCTCCCAAATCAGTCAGGTTTTGATGGAAGAATGAATTAAAATAAGCCTAGGGAGTCCACCTAGAGTGTCACCATAATACTCTAACATTGCCTTTGTGTTGTTCATGCCTTAAGCATTTCCTATAATTTGCTTTCTTATAAGTTTTATAATTTGCTTTCTTATAACCCAGTATGGTGTTACTTATCCTCATTTCACAAGAGGCTAAGGTTCAGCAAAACTAAATAACTTTTCCAAGATTGCACAGCTAACAACTATAGCGGACAATGTTGGTAACAGTACTAAGCTCCATCTACAGGGCACTTGGATGCGAAGCCTGGAGGTACAGCATCTGAGGTTTAAGGTCAACACACAAGATTACAGAGGAGAAAGGCAGAAAGAGCCTAGATCCTTGGGGTATCATTGAATTATCAAGCCAGCTCTGTGCTAACTACACCTACAACTTGATATAAAGCCCCACCTGTTCAAGTCATAGTGCTTGGGTTTTTTTTTTATATTTGCATCATAAAAGACATCTGACTGGTAGTCTGAGAACTGGAAATCAAATGTAAAACTCTGAAGCCCTTGCTCTTTCCGATGGAACAATCTCAGTACTCATCACTCACTACGGGTATTCTTCACTTTATAGAGAGAGAATGTGCCCCTCAAAACCCACATGCAAATCACTTAAACATACTCAATTTAGAATGCACTAATTAATGTTAAAAGAAATCTGTAATAAATGATCTTATGAACTATTTGGAGAATATTTTTATGACATTAAATGGGAAATTAAGTGGTGGTTGGCAAGTTTTTGCTAACAGATGTATTTTCTCAAATTGTGCTATGTGTGTTCCAAATTTACAAGGCAATTTTACTGTCAAGATTCTGAGAAAGCGGGTTAGTAGGACGAAAAGGGATTAACCTACATCCACTAAGATGGCAGTAACCAACAAGTGTTGGCCAGGATGTGGAGAAATTGGGACCCTCACACACTCCTGCTGGGAATGAAAAATGTTACATCTGCTTTAGAAAACACTGTGGCAGTTCCTCTAAAGGTTAGGCAGAGTTGCCATATGACACAGCAGTTCTATTTGGAGTTCTATTTCTAAGTATCTCCCCAAGAGAAATGAAAACATATGTCTACACAAAAGATTGTACACAAACGTTAATAACAGCCCAAAAGTGAAAACAACCACAATTCCACCAACTAATGGGTGGGATATATCCATGCAATGGAACATTATTCAACCAGAATAGGCATCCATAGAAAATGCTGGAATAGTTGAAGAGAAATAGTGAGTGACTACTAATGGATACAGGGTTTCTTTTTTGGCATGATGAAAATGGTCTAAAATTGATTGTGGTAGTAGGTGCACAACTCTGTGAATATACTAAAACTCTGTGAATGGTACATTTTATGTAAGGTGAATTGTATCATATATTGAATCAACAAAGCTGTTACATTTTTAAAAATTAACCAACTAACCATGATCAGAAGATAGTAAAAGGGTCCAGGAAATAGCAAAAGTCCTGAAGGCTGTAGGCTCCCTGTTAGTCTGGCACTTCTCATTTTCCTGTGAGCTTGGACTGTGGGGTTTACTCCCATACTGCCCTCATTTTCACAATCCTGAAGTGGACTTAGCAATGAGACTCTAGTTTTCTTGGCCTTTTTTTGTCATCTCCTGGAGACTATCTTACCCCCAAGGCAAGGGGTGAGGTTAATGAACACTCAGACCCTTGTTAGAACCCTGGTTCCCTATGTCTTAGTCAAGTGACCTTGGAGAGACAAGAGGAGCTCGCCAAGCCCTCTGAAAATGGGAATAATAATAGTTACCTCACAAGGTTGAGTTGAGCATTGAAGCCATAAGCACATGAAGTGCACGCGGAGCACGTGGCTTAGCACATTGTGTTCCGTCCCTAAGTGCAACCCATTTCTGATCGCTTCCATCATCCCTTTAACGCCCGGCCACGCCTCCGTTAAACCCCCGCTCAGAATGAAAGGTGTGAGCTCTTGCCCTTGGCGCACGGCTAGTAACTCCGGGCTTAGCCATGTACTCAGAAAGATGTCTAGTTTTTACCCAGAATTTCTTGAATGAAAAGGTGTTACTTTTGATGATTTATTTCATCACAGTTATTGTGAGTACCTAACAGGTGAAGAAGAAGAGCAAGTTTGGAAAGTTATTCTCTTCCATATTGACGAGACCTGGACAGCCTCTGTTAAATATGCCCTGTGATCTGGTTCTCTACACGATTTCAGCAGAAAAGTAAGGAAATTAGAGGTAAGGCAGTCAGGCCAACCCAGACTCAGAACCCGCCTCTCCTCTCTGTAGCTGTGTGGCCCTGGGCACATTGCCTAACCCTGCTAGGCCTCCGTAGCCTTGCTTATGAAAAATGGGGGCGGGGGGTGGGGGAGAGAATCTTACGTACATCACAGGGTTGTATAGGGGATTAAATGAGGTAGCACATATAAAGCCTTTGGCTCAGTGCTTCCCAAACAGTAAGGCTTTAATAATTTTTTTAAGTAAGTCGTTTGTGAAATTTTTGAGAAAAAAATAATATGCTTCAAATAAACTACTGAAGGCATTCTTTTTTAAATCCTCACCCGAGTATATGTTTATTATTATTATTACTATTATTATTATTAATTACTGATTTTAGAGACAGAAGAA